GTTCTTTGGAGACATTGTCGGAAGTTGCAGAAATTGCAGAAGTTGCAACACATCTGACACTCCAACACTCTTTCTTTGGAAGTTAGTCCTAGTGCTAACCTCCTTGAAAGTTATTTTCTAGTTATCCCGGAGGAAACAACCCCATCCTTCTTCCAACGCAACGGTGGTTGCTTCTTAATTTCTAGTAGACTCAACTCACAAGGTCTGAAAATGCAGGAGGGAAACACACAGCTCCACCCACCCAACCGATGGCCGGAAACGTCCTGCGGCTCCTGCAGGCACAGAACATGCTGAAGGTGGGATGTGCCAGGGGAGGCCCAGAGGTGGCTGGAGAACAAAAACAGTCCGCCTTATCTCAAGCGAACAGCCCAGAGTTCACACAATTGTGTGACATTTGGAACGATCGCCTGGGATGAAACCGGTCTGCATTGAAGCAGGGAGGAGGAGGAGCTTCTGGCCTACGGGCAGCCCAAGAGACGAAGGAGAGGGGTGCCAGGGAGTTTCCTATGGGAACAAGCCAGTATGTCACCCCAATTGATGCTCTCTGCACCCCGGGCAGGAAGAAGACCCTGGCGAGCAGCCACAGCCTCTGCCCAGCCTCTCCTCTGCCCCTTCCCCTTTGCAGGCCCCCATAATGTTCCCTTCTGGGCAATACCGCACTCCCTTTCCATCCAGGGTGAAACATTCAAGGCAACAAGTGACCAAACAATTTAGCTATTCAAAAACACAAGAAGAAAAACACAACCTGGGCCAAAGTCAGCACATGACACACCCTGAGCGCAGCTGGTGGGCTGCCTGGTAATAACAACAGAGGCCTTCAGCAAGACCAGGTCAGCAAAAAAGCAACTTGCTGGGCGTGGACGGAAAGGCGGGTCCTCCCAAGCCAGGGCCCAGGGCCCTCCAGCAGGGACTGGTCAATTCCCCAACCAGGGAGGAGGTACCCCACAAGATGGCTGCCCCACACTGGCATCCCAAGATGCAAAGCCCTCTCCCAAGAGGCCCCAACTGGACACCCGCAGAGCATAACGGACACCACCGGACTTCTGGGGCAGAACCGACTAGCTAAGCTGGGTGAATTTTAGTATCGGCTACTGGAAGTCCCGTTTCCCACAACCGGCCTTCGATTCCAACTTGGGCAACGCTGCCTGGGGACTACGGGAGTTGAAGTCCAGCCTACCTGGGGAGGGGGGGTCACCAGGTAGGGGAAAGTGAGGAGTGATCTGTGCAGCTTTCCGCAATGGACCGGATGGGAAGGAATCCATGCCTGACCCTCTCTGCTGAAGGAGTGGGTGTTGCAGGAACATGGGTCTTTCGGCCAGACCTGGGCACGGCTCCTGCAATGGCCACACCAGAGGCTGGCAGAGTGGGGGAAACCAAGCAGGGATGCAGGGGCCCTGGTTCCTCACAGCCATGCCAGTTTCTAAGCCCCCCACCCCCACCCCCAGGAACCAGGGTTAAGGGGGAGGCCAAGCCAGCCAACAGAAGAACCTGGCTGCTCCAGGGCCCCCCCAGACTCACATGAACCTGCATTCTCCCAGGGCAGCCAACCTCCACACGAAAGAGCCAGGCTCTCGAATTCTCCATCCCAGATGGGTGTCCCCTCCCCCTCCTGCAGTGGGGCTGGCCAAGGGAGGCCAAGCACGCCCCGGCTCCAGTGTCCCTCTTTCCGGAGCCACCTGGCCCCCATGCAGGAGATCAGAGGCCCCACAGAGAGGGGGCTCCTTTGCAAAGCTGGTGCTCCTGGGCCTTTGGTGTGCCAGCACAGCTCCCCCCCCCCATGGGGCATTCGTGGCCACGGGACAGGCCTGAGTGGGCAGCCCTCCAGATGGGACAACCTGCAAGTGTTGCCCCAGGTGTGCCCAACATCTGGGAATATGGGGTCAAGGTTCCCCTGGTGGGAGGGGGGGTTGGCCTGCCTTCTTTCATTCCAACTGCACCTCCCCCCACCCCAAAAAGGTCCAGACTAGAAATCCAGCAGCCCCAGCAGTGCCCTCTCCTCCAGGGCTCGAGAGGGGCCTTCTCTCCCCTACCCGCCCCCCCCCCCCCCCGCGGGGGGGGAAAAGCGCCCCCGGGGCGCGGGGACGGGGGGGGGGGGGGGGGACCAGGGGCGCCCCCGTCCGATGCTTCCCCCCCCCACCCGGCACCACCCTCCCTGCGGCGCCCGGGCGCCTCCCCCGGCCGCGTCCCGGGAGTGACTCGGCGTTTCGGGACCGCAGCGCCGGAGCGGGAGGGAGGGGGGGGGGGCCGCGCTCTGCACGCGCCCCGGAGCCCCGCGCGCCACTCACCGGTCCGGGTGGGAGCGTCCGTCCTGCAGCAGGGCGGCCAGCGGGAAGGCGGCGCGGCCCAAGAAGCGGTCCGGGCCCACCAGCGCTCGCTGCCAGACCACCAGCTGCAGCAGCTGCGGGTCAGGGTCGGGCGGCGGGGCCGGTCGGGCGGCTGGCGGCGGCGGCGGGGGCAGCTCCAGCGTGCACTGCTCGGCCCAGCGCGGACAGCCGCCCTTCTGCGCGGCCACGGCGGTGCGGTGCTTCTGCCGGCCCAGCTGCAGCGTCACGAAGGCGGCGTCGCCCGGGCCCCCCTTGGCCCGCAGCCCCCGCGCTTGCACCACCGCTACCTGCACGTGGCTCGGCAGCCAGGACGACGACGGCGACGGCGGCGGCGACTCGTCGCCCGCCCGCGGCAGGCTCATCCCGGCAGCGGGGAGGGGGCGGCGGCTCCTGCGGCAAAGTTTCTCCGGCTCCCGCGGACGAAGCAGGCGGACGGCCGGCAGGCGCGGCGGTGCTGCAGCTGCAGTCGGGTGGCCCCGCCCCCGCCCGACCCAGCGCCCCCCCCCACCGCGCCAGGAGGGCCCCGCCCTTACGGTCTGGCTCCGCCCCGCGTCCGGCCGGGGCTTGGGAGGGGGGGGGACGTCCCGCGCAGAGCTTCCCGGGCGGGCGGGGGCTCTGGGCCTCTTTGCGCCCCTCGAACTTCGGGGGGCGACGGCTGGGCCGGACGGTTACCGGGAGGCCCCCGTCAGGCAGAGCCGCGCCTGGCCTCCTGGTCCGCGGGGCTACTCGGCTCGAGGGCGGAGAGAGCCGATTCGCGCCCTTCGAGTAGGTTCTCCTGCTTGAGCAGCGGGATGGACTACAAGACCTCTAAGGTCCCTTCCAGCTCTATTCTGATCGGTTGATTGGACAGCCTCCGCGCCCCCAAGACTTTTCAGCGCCCCTCGGCGGGGGCCACTGCCCTACCTCTAACCGCCCCGCCGGGGACTCAGTTCCCAGCGGCCTTCTGACTACCCCGGACAGGGCGAGAGCGGCGGCCCCGCGCAGCATCGGCGGGCTGCGCTCGGGAAAGAGCTCCGCCGGGAACTCTGCCACAAAGGCAGCAGCCGCCGAGCCCCAACTCTAGGGCGCCCCGCTGGTGGGAGCCTTGGCCTCGAGGGGCCGCTAAGCCCAGGAAAGTTCGGGCTAACCGAGGTTTCTCCCCCGCCCTCGGACAGCTGCCCACCTGGGACGGGGCGCTTGGTGTAAGTGGAGGACGAGCGGGCGTAGGGGGGAGAGAAAGCGGCAGGCTCGGGACTCCAGAACAAGTGGGAGGCGGTGGGGGTCTGAAGTTTGGGTCAGCTCTAGACAGGCGCTGGGGTTACGGACCCTGGAAAGGCTGAGTATTTTTCCAAGCGTAGAAAACTTAATTTTATAGACAGCTGGACTCCCCTGTGGCTCCTGTTTGCTTACAACCCAGGTCTCCAAACTTGGCCACTTTAAGACTTGTGGACTTCTACTCCCAGAATTCTTCCTCCAGTCATGTTAGCTCAGGAATTCTGGGAATTGAAGTCCACAAGTCTGAAACTTGCCAAGTTTGAAGACCCTTGCATTACAGTGACCTAACTAAGAGAGGAGAGGGAAGTTGTCTCCTCTGAGTTGCTCTCGGTTGTAGCAGGCCAGGGGCGGAGGTGGGCAGGTTGTATGGCCACAGTCCGGAGGAGCTGCCTCTCATGGACCAGAAGCTCCAGTGATCCGTCCTTATTTACTGCAAAGATGCTCTAAGTCAGAAGCCAACATTTCTCAACCTTGGCAACTTAAAAGATGTGTGGACTTCAACTCCCGGAATTCCTTGGCCAGCATGCAGTCTGGGGAATTCTGGAAGTTGAAGTCCAGTCAAGGCTGAACAATATTGGACTGACCCCCAACTGAACAATCATCTTCCTTTCTGAGCTACACAGATCACTCGGTGGTTAGAATAGAATAGAATAGAATAGAATAGAATAGAATAGAATAGAATA